TAGTTTGGATCCATTGCTCCGTGTCCGCTTCTCTGGAGCAGCAGAAAACAACCTTTCTCCCTCCTCTATGTGACATCCTTTCATATATTTGAACATGGCTATCATATCACCCCTTAACCTCCTCTTCTCCAGGCTAAACATGCCCAGCTCCCTTAGCCGTTCCTCATAAGGCATCGTTTCCAGGCCTTTGACCATTTTGGTTGCCCTCCTCTGGACACGTTCCAGTTTGTCAGTGTCCTTCTTGAACTGTGGTGCCCAGAACTGGACACAGTACTCCAGGTGAGGTCTGACCAGAGCAGAATACAGTGGCACTATTACTTCCCTTGATCTAGATGCTATACTCCTATTGATGCAGCCCAGAATTGCATTGGCTTTTTTAGCTGTTCCCTGACTTAGTTCCGATTAAATCAGCCCGTGGAACAAAGAGGTCTGCTTTTCCTTTCTAACACCTCGGCTCTGGATAAACTTCCTTGTCGCTAACCAAAACTGCCAGCAAGAACCCAAACACCTTTTGCAAAGCTTGCAACCTGTTTCTTCCCACAGAGCCCGGTGCTATGTGCATTTTGCTCAGCAGAAAAGTCCTGCTGAATCCCATGGGACTTACTCCCAGGTAAGCGCACACAGGACTGCGGCATCAATTAACCGGCAGAGGGGATTTAAAACCCAAACAAAAACCTTTTGCTTGGTAGTTTGTGATGGCCTAGCAGCTGAGGTCCTTGCCAACAAAGGTCAGTATAGTAAAAGCTCTGGTTTTCCCACTAGTGATGTATGGAAGTGAGAGCTGGACCATCAAGAAGGCTGATCGCCGAAGAATCAATGCTTTTGAATTCTGGTGCTGGAGGAGACTCTTGAGAGTCCCATGGACTGCAAGAAGATCAAACCTCTCCATTCTGAAGGAAATCAGCCCTGAGGGCTCACTGGAAGGACAGATCCTGAAGCTGAGGCTCCAAGACTTTGGCCACCTCATGAGAAGAGAAGACTCCCTGGAAAAGACCCTGATGCTGGGAAAGATGGAGGGCGCAAGGAGAAGGGGACGACGGAGGACGAGATGGTGGGACAGTGTTCTCGAAGCTACCAGCATGAGTTTGACCAAACTGCGGGAGGCAGTGGAAGACAGGAGTGCCTGGCGTGCTCTGGTCCAGGGGGTCACCAAGAGTGGACACGACTAAATGACTAAACAAGCAGCTGAGGTCTTGCAAAGTATTTTGGTTTGGCACACCAGATTTCCTGCAATCAAATCTTTCCCCTCCAAATTGCTGCAATAAAAACATATATATATATATTTTGCAACTGTTTTGGCAAGTGATCAGACTGAATGCAGGTACATCTGGCATCTGATCTCATTTCTCTCACACAATTAATAATGTTTGACACTGCTGGGTTTTCACCAGAGTTAAGTAAAGGTAAAAGGACCCCTGACCATTAGGTCCAGTCGCGGCCGACTCTGGGGTTGCGGTGCTCATCTCGCTTCACTGGCCGAGGGAGCCGGCATACAGCTTCCGAGTATGTGGCCAGCAGGACTAAGCCGCTTCTGGCGAACCAGAGGAAGCTCCTGCAGCCAATCCGAAACCTTGCCACCCATGCGCTGAGGTAAACCCGGCGTGGCCAAGGACGGAGAGATTAGTGAACGGGCAGCGGGTCTGGTCCGTGCCATGGGCATCGTGACTAATCCAGAATGCGGCAGCTAGACTGGTGACTGGGAGCGGCTGCCGAGACCACATAAAAAGACCTACACTGGCCCCCAGTACGTTTCCAAGCACAATTCAAAGTGTTGGTGTTGACCTTTAAAGCCCTAAACGGCCTCGATCTAGTATATCCGAAGGAGCATCTCCACCTCCATCGTTCTGCCCGGACACTGAGGTCCAGCGCCGAGGGCCTTCTGGCGGTTCCCTCGCTGCAATAAGCCAAGTTACAGGGAACCAGGCAGAGGGCCTTCTCGGTGGTGGCGCCCACCCTGTGGAACGCCCTCCCGTCAGATGTCTAAGAGAAGAACAACTACCAGACTTTTAGAAGACATCTGAAGGCAGCCCTGTTTAGGGAAGCTTTTAATGTTTAACAGACTACTGTATTTTAATACTTTGTTGGAAGCTGCCCAGAGTGGCTGGGGAATAAATAATAAATTATTATTATTATTATTATTATTATTATTATTATTATTATTATTATTATATTCAGCCAGAGCTTGGCATACCTGCTAGCCCTGTGCCTGGCGCCTGGCTCGGCGCTGCTGCTGCGCTTGGCGGCCGCGCTGGAGCAGCTGGAGGGCGAGTTGCCCACCGCCTGCCCAGCGCTCCACATGCGCCGCCTGCCCACCGACCTGGCCTTGGACAATGGGCCGCAGCGCATGGTGCACACCGCCTGGGAGCTCTGTGGGGAAAGGCCAATGGAGCGGCCGCTGCTCGCCAACAACGCCGGTGAGCGGGTGGTGCAGAGACGCACTCCTGAGCGCGTGCAGAGTGTGTTCCTCCTCCAGGCCCAGAGGCAACCCAGCTTGCAGGATATTTATATTTTTCAAAATATAGTCTGGCCCCCCACAAGGTCTGAGGGACAGTGGACTGGCCCCCTGATGAAAAAGTTTGCTGACCCCTGCTTTAAGCTGTCCCGACTCTTCCAACACTTTTGCACTGGGAATAATTCTCCGTTCCCAGAAGGCCCAAGACATAAGAGCAAGGGGGAGGGGGCGGGCAAACAATACACATCCAAAGTGGACCTCTGCAGGATGCCATGGAAATACCTTCACATCTTAGGAACATCTCCCCCACCCTTACCCCGCAACCGTCTCCTGGGGCAGTTGTGTTCATTAGCAGAAGGTGGGTGGAAACAGGAACATCTGCCAACGCTCGAAGAATGGAGAATGAAACTGATGGAGTATGCTGAACTAGACAAACTAACAGGAAAGATCAGATATAAAGGTAAAGGACCTGACCATTAGCTCCAGTCGTGGCCGACTCTGGGGTTGCAGCACTCATCTCGCTTTATTGGCCGAGGGAGCCGCCATACAGCTTCCAGGTCATGTGGCCAGCATGACTAAGCCGCTTCTGGTGAACCAGAGCAGCGCACGGAAACGCCGTTTACCTTCCTGCCGGAGCGGTACCTATTTATCTACTTGCACTTTGACGTGCTTTCGAACTGCTAGGTTGGCAGGAGCAGGGACCGAACAACGGGAGCTCACCCTGTTGCAGGGATTCGAACCGCCGACCTTCTGATCGGCAAGTCCTAGGCTCTGTGGTTTAACCCACAGCTCATTGAAGACTGGGGGAAATTTTCAGACTATCTGAAATGTGTATGTGATGAGCAAATAACGCTAGTGGGATTTCAAGAAGTTCTGTAAATGATAGAGGACTATTGTATTGATGAAAACTAAGTGTGTGAAGGTTTATGAAATGCAATATAAAATTAGGAAATGCGTATTTAAAAATTTGAATAATGGCTGATTGTCAGAGAGGTTGAAGGAAGTCTAAAAGAGAAAATATGTGATAAATTTGGATTGGATACTATAAATGTATGTTGGAAAATTTAATTAAAATTTAATGGGTAAAGAAGGTGGGTGTTCTAGTGGTCTTGAGCCTCGGGTCCCTAGCAGGCCTGCCCCGTCCCTCTGATCTCTTTCTGCCGGATCTGCAGGCATCCCTCCCCAGATTCCCCACTCCTAACCTTGGGGAGCGTGAATTAAGGTCACCTTTGCTGCAGAATCAAAGGGCTGTCGCTCACTCAGACAACTGGGGTGGTTTGGCAGCTTGGTGGTGGAAGCGAAAGCTCCGTCAGGCTCAGGTGTGCCGGCTTGGCCTCTCAACGGCGGGTGCCATCATGCAGCAGGCATGACCCTGGCCCAGATATTTGTGGGTGCCCGGCTCCTTTAGGGGGGATTTGTGGGTGCTTGGGCACCCAGGGAGCTGGCACCTATGTATAGACTTCTATCTGCCCCATGGAGATATTTGCACCCCTTGTAGTTGTAGAAGCTGGGCCAAACTGGTCGAGGCATCCCCAGCTGTTAAGCGCATCCGAATTGCCTGCGGTGAAGGCGAGGGACTCTCTTCTGGAGACGCCTGAGTTTATTTATTTTATTAAAAAATGTAAATAAATCCCAGGCCATTGGAGGCAGAAACAACCCTCCCGGACCTACGAACCGTGCCGAAAAGCGTCAAGGCGCAAAGGCTCGGACTACCCAAAAGGGTCCAGTATGGAGAACCTGGTTGGTCCGGTCGAAAGGCCTTCGGCGTTTGGATTTGCGCTCCCTCTGTCCTTCGGCGCCGCGGCAGACCACGGCCCTCGGCCTCCTCCTCGCCCGCAGCTCAAGCGCCACGTGCTGCCTCCGAGCCCCTCGGACGCCTCCCCGGCGGTGCCACTCCGAGGAGCGCATCCGCAGTGGACCGCAGCGCCGGGGCTGCTTCTCCCGCTCTGCTGTGCCCGCGGCGGCAATTCCGCACTCCTCCTCCGCAGGAGCGTACGGCGGAGGAGAATTTCTGAATGGGCTGAGCATCCCCCGCTCTCCCCCCCCCCGGCACGTTGTGGAAGGATGACATCAGGCGGGGAGAGAGAGAGCGCGGACCAAAACGGTGTCGGGTCCAAGCGTGCGTAAAAATACGCACCGGTGGAAAGGAGGACCCCCCTCCCGAAACAGCTTCCGGAGACCCTCTTCCCGAAAACCCGTGGCTGGCCATTGCACAACAAAAGGCTGGGGCGAGGGTCTTCCTTCCTCGACAGCGGAAGGGGCTTAACGATTTCCAGACAATAGCTCGACGCCCAAGAGATGCGCTTTTCCGGGTACCACGGATGCTCCGCATCGCTCCTTTCGCGCCGGACGACCCTCCTTCCCCCATCCCGGGTTTAGTCGGGTCCAAAGGTTCGGTTCCCCCGAACTTTGGCAAAGTCTGTTGGGCACCCCCGAAAAGCGGGAAAATCCGGCCTCATCTCTCGTCCACCCCCCTCCCCACCCTGTTTTCCCCACCCTCCCAAGGGATAGCGCAACGGAGGTAGCCCAAACCTCGCCAAATACTCACCCAGGACCCCGGTGGCGGCTGGCCCGGACGCCTCGCCATCTGCGGCGCCCCTCTTGTGGCGCTCGCTGTCCTGGGAGCCCGGCGCCGCTCCTGCCCCGCTCTCTGGCATCGCGGCTGAGCTCAAGGTTGAGGGCTGGACCGCAAAACAGACAGCATTGCAGAGGCCGGGATGCAGGCTTCACCGCTAGCCAAGAAACCCCGGGCTGCTGCTCTCACAATAGCCAGCGCGGCGGCGGCTGCAGCGGGAGCGCAGGACGGCCGACGACCTGCCGCATCCGAAGCGCCATTTGGGCTGGCAGGAGAGGGGTGCAAGGACGCGAGGCAGGTGCGCAAAAAGGGGTCTCTCTGTCTCTCCTTTCCCGGGCCAGGTGAGCCCCTGCCGGAGAGCCTCCAACACAACCAGCGCCAAAGGTGGCTCCGAGCGAGCGAGCAGCCAGCCAGCCAGAAGGAGGGACAAAGGAGAGGGTGGGGGGAGCTGTTAAGTTAAAAGGCAAGGAGCTTTTAATAGTATGGTTGGCTAGCGTCTCCTCAGCGCCATCTGCCAGCAGCCTGCCAGGGATCAATTTCCTCCCTCCTTCAAGATTCTGAGACTTGAGAGCTAGCAGATAAGTCAGAAGCGTCGGACTGTGGCGTTGGAAGGGAATTTGAACCCACGACTCTTAAGAGATGATAATAATAATAAATTTTATTTATACCCCGCCCTCCCCAGACAAGACCCGGCTCAGGGTGGCTGGCACCAGGTATAAAAACAATTGATTGAAATACAACTTAAAAACAAGATTAAAACACGACATTAAAATGCAGCCTCATTTCAGTAGAAACTTCTTTGGGGATGAAAACGTGAAGTCTTCACCAAGGCCAACTATCCAGACTGGTCCTACATGGGCCAGAAAAAAGCCAGGGAAATCCCCAAATAGGAGTTCCATCACAAAAGGAAAAAGGAAAGAGAGGGAGGGGATCAAGTTGATTCCAAGCCAAAGGTCAGGCAGAGTCTCCTATGCTCCACTGACATGCCATCTCAGTTAAAAAAATTATACCCAGTTGGAATGAAGCATGGGCGGGGGGTGGGAGGGGGACTTGAATAAAATATTATGGGAGGAGCAGGTAATCCCTGACACCCCACATAATTGATCACAAGATGCGAGACAAGCACACCTCTTGAATGGCAATGCCCATTAACTTTAGATAAAGGTAAAGGGACCCCTGACCATTAGGTCCAGTCGTGGCCGACTCTGGGGTTGCGGTGCTCATCTTGCTTTACTGGCTGAGGGAGCTGGCGTACAGCTTCCGGGTCATGTGGCCAGCAGGACTAAGCCGCTTCTGGAGAACCAGAGCAGCACACGGAAATGCCGTTTACCTTCCCACTGGAGTGGTACCTATTTATCTACTTGCCGTGGCGTGATTTCGAACTGCTAGGTTGGCAGGAGAAGGGACCGAGCAACAGGAGCTCACCCCGTTGCGGGGATTTGAACCGCCGACCTTCTGATCGGCAAGCCCTAGGCTCTGTGGTTTAACCCACAGCGCCACCAGCATCCCTTATTAACTTTAGGGGGCTCAAATATTTCATTGTGGGTGGGGGCTGAAGGGACTTCAGCCCCTAGGAGTTGGCTCCTATGGAATGAAGCGTATGGAAGGAGGCGGGTGGAATTCTCCAATAACTTATCCTACATACACAAAATACGTTGTTTGATTTGATATCTCACCCCCTACATTCCTACTGAAGGACGTGGCAGGATTTTTAGCCGAAACAAAGCAAAACAGAAACACCATATTCATACCCTGCATTCCTGCAAAGGCAACCCAAAAGCACTTAAAATAAAAGAAGTGGTTTGTTTGTTTTTAATGCATGTTCACAGAATTATTTTTTTAAAAAACTCAGTTGAACCCAGCAAATCAATGAAACAGTGTGAGTTCACCAGCGGGGCAGGAAAGGACATCGTTATGACAGTGGTTAAGAAGGTGAAATACCTAGGGGTATACTTAACATCTAAAAATTTGAATTTGTACAAGGACAACTATGAAAAATGTTGGTCAGAAATTAAAAGAGATCTAGAAATATGGTCAAATTTGAAATTGTCAATGTTAGGCCGAATTGCAGTGATTAAAATGAATGTATTGCCTAGAATGTTATTCTTGTTTCAGACCTTGCAGATTCTCGACAAGATGGAATGTTTTAAGAGGTGGCAGAAAGATATTTCGAAATTTGTCTGGCAGGGCAAAAAGCCCAGAATTAAATTTAAAATATTGACAGATGCTAAAGAAAGAGGGGGGTTTGCCCTGCCGGACTTAAAATTGTATTATGAGGCAGCAGCTTTTTGCTGGCTGAAGGAATGGATGCTCCTCGAGAACACAGACATCTTGGATCTGGAAGGCTTTAATAATGTTTTTGGTTGGCATGCATATTTATGGTATGACAAAATTAAGCAGCATAGTGCCTTTAAAAATCACATTGTTAGAAAAGCACTGTTTAATGTATGGATGAGATATAAAGATCTGTTGGAAAACAAAACCCCTAGATGGGTGTCACCAGTCGAGGCTAAAGCAGTAAAGAAACTCAATATGGAGGTCGGATGGCCGAAGTATTGGGAAATTTTGGAACAGGATGGAGATAAGTGGAAATTACAAAGTTATGACAAATTGAAGGATAAAGTACAAAACTGGCTTCAATACTACCAAGTAATGGAGCTTTTCAAACAGGACAGGAAAATTGGCTTTCAAGTGGATAAATCGAAACTAGAAATTGAACTGTTAGAACCCAACACTAAGAATTTGTCAAGAATGTATAATTTGTTGCTGAAATGGAATACACAGGATGAAACGGTGAAATCAGCCATGATTAAATGGGCACAAGACATTGGTCATGACATTATGTTTGCCGACTGGGAACAGTTATGGACCACCGGTGTTAAGTTTACGGCATGTAATGCCTTAAGAGAAAACATAATGAAAATGATTTACAGGTGGTACATGACCCCAGTCAAGTTGGCAAAAATTTATCATCTGCCCGATAACAAATGTTGGAAGTGTAAAGAGACTGAAGGTACCTTCTACCACCTTTGGTGGACATGCCCGAAGATTAAGGCCTTCTGGGAAATGATCTATAATGAAATCAAAAAGGTACTCAAATGTACCTTCTCGAAAAAACCAGAGGCCTTTCTCTTGGGCATTGTCGGCCAATTGGTGACAAAGAGGGATAGAACTTTCTTTATGTATGCTACATCAGCAGCAAGAATACTCATCGCAAAGTATTGGAAGACCCAAGATCTACCCACTTTGGAAGAATGGCAGATGAAAGTGATGGACTATATGACATTGGCCGAGATGACAGGCAGAATCCGTGACCAACGAAAAGAGACGGTGGAAGAAGAATGGAGAAAATTTAAAAGTTATCTTAAGGACTACTATAAACTTAATGAATGCTAAAATGTTGCGGTTTCCAGAAACAAAGGGATACAGGGATATAAGGTTAGAAATTTGAAAAAGGACTAAGAAGATAGAGATTGGAAAATAAACAATTGGGAGTTGCTTAGTTGAACTTGGACACTGGGATGGCAGAGAGGGGGGTATGGGGAAGTCAAAGGAAAGAAGTTTATGAATAATATTTTGAAACATACGTGTATGTTTGTCATTTTTGGTGTTTTGTTTGTTTTTTGTCTAAAAAGTTTCTAAAACCAATAAAAATTTTATAAAAAAAAAAAAAAAAGGAAAGGACATCGTTATGTACTGAAGTTCTCACCCTGGGCCAGCAGGGGGATACTGTAGATAGTTATGCAAATGAAGGATCGAAAGTGACGTTCAGTGATTGGATAGTTTTAGAAAGTTGCTACAGTTACGTTGTTCTGGAGCTCTATATAAGCAGGCTGGCTGAGCTCTTCAGTTCAGTTCTGTTCTGGCTTCTGAATAAACAAGAGCTGTTTGAAGAATCACTGTGTCGTCTGATATCTTCACCCACAACTTAACAGACATCTCATTTTGGCCATCTGGCTCCTGAGAGATAAGATCGCGTCTGAATATGGAGGCTTGGCTTGCCTAGGCCTCTACCCTCTGTGGAATTTATTTGACAAATTGTAATCGCCTCAGTAATAATCTTCCTCTTTTTTTATTTTTTAAAAAGGCCACCACAATTCCAGGACACCCTCTCTCTTGAATTTACTGCCCAACTGAATTTGGCCATGGGATGTGGCAGCCAGACTGGTAACTGAGAGTGGCCGCCGGAACGCACAATAACTCCGGTCCTGAGAGATCTGCATTGGCTCCCAGTACGTCTCCGAGGCACAATTCAAAGTGTTGGTGCTGATCTTGAAAGCCCTAAACGGCCCAGTATACCTGAAGGAGCGTCTCCACCCCCATCGTCCATCCCGGACACTGAGGTCCAGCACCGAGGGCCTTCTGGCGGTTCCCTCATTGCAAGAAGTGAGGTTACAGGGAACCAGGCAGAGGGCCTTCTCGGTAGTGGCACCCCCTGTGGAACACCCTCCCCTTCAGATGTGAAAGAAATAAGCAGCTATCTTCTCTTTAAAAGACATCTGAAGGCAGCCCTGTTTAGGGAAGTTTTAATATTTAATGCTGTGTTGTTTTTAACACTTGATTGGAAGCTACCAATAATAATAATAATAATAATAATAATAATATTCCCAGCCTTGGTATTTATGGGACGAGGAGAAAAGGTTTCCCTTAGAATCACAGAATCGTGGGCTTGAAAAAGGGACCCAAGAACCATCTATGCAATGCAGGAATCACAACTAAATAATCCCTCTTGTTAGATATTGTTGTGATATTTAACCTTCCGGTTAACCTTGCTGATCGCTTAGGAGGCTGTTCTGCTCTTTAAAGTGGGCCTTTCCCCTTCCCCACTTCGGCTCACCGCTTCTTTTTGCTGAAGTTGCCTTAAAAACCTTCCCAGATTTTCTCCCGGAGTTGTTTTCCTGTCTTGACCTCAGACGTCTCTCAGGTCCCCAAAGGTCATGCTGTTATTTCTAGAGACGGGGAGCCGAGATGGGTGCAAAAATACCAGCAAGGTAACTTGACCTGGGATGTACAAGGTCCCTTTGCTGAGGTTGAATTTAAGGCCTGTAATGTGTTTGTGTAACGTGACTGCAAGAAGATCAAACCTCTCCATTCTGAAGGAAATCAGCCCTGAGTGCTCACTGGAGGGACAGATCCTGAAGCTGAGGCTCCAAGACTTTGGCCGCAACATGAGAAGAGAAGACTCCTTGGAAAAGACCCTGATGTTGGGAAAGATGGAGGGCACAAGGAGAAGGGGACGACAGAAGACGAGATGGTGGGACAGTGTTTCTGAAGCTACCAGCATGAGTTTGACCAAACTGCGGGAGGCAGTGGAAGACAGGAGTG